AGATTAAAGTCAGAATTCTGAGATTAAAGTCAGAGTTCTAAGATTATAGTCAGAATTCTGAGATTAAAGTCAGATTTCTAAGATTATAGTCAGAATTCGGAGAAAAAAAGTCAGAATTCTGAGATTAAAGTCAGAATTCTGAGATTAAAGTCAGAGTTCTAAGATTAAAGTCAGATTTCTAAGATTATAGTCAGAATTCGGAGAAAAAAGTCAGAATTCTGACTTACAATACAGAAATTAAATTTAAAAATCAGTTACATTTTTTTTTATTTTCCTCTTCCGTATGTATCAGTTATCAGGATGTTTTGATGGAAAGCTCTTGTTTTATGTAATGGAAAATGTTTTGATTATATTTAAATGGAAAGTGCTTGACACAATCTTAATTTCCCACCTCCAGCCTCGTTCCTCTCACTGTGAATCTCCACTGTTTACATTGTATTAAAACGCTTCTATGAAATCGGGGGTAGTTCTCCCACTTAGGACCCACTCTCTATCATACACTATGCACCTTTATCTACATCTTATATTAAATAATGTGCGAAAAGGCCGATGAGATGGTTTGGAACATGGAGCATAAAGTAACACCTGTATATTTAGTTTGTACAGAAATGAGCATTCAGTCAGATTTCTGCCACGCAGGCAGACAAACTTCAACCAACCGCAGTGAAAGGGAGGGATCAGCTCTACTGCTGTTAGCCACCTAGCTTATAGCATCTACCGTTAGCGGTGTGGGTAAGTTATCTTCCCGTCTGTGTTGTATTAGTATTTATTAACAGAGTCATTTAAAAATAAAGATAGTTTTTTTTATATAACACGGAGGAAGGGAACTCAGTTGTATTTCCCGGAGCTGACGCATATGTGAAGTTACTGTTAGCATGTTCGTTAGCTAGCACTAACTTTGAGAGAGGAACAAGTTCGAAGCTCTACAGAAAGCTCACGTCTTAATAAAACGTTCATGAATTAGATTATGTTTATAAAAAAAATGCACCAGACTAAATCTGTTAAACCACATAAACTACAATTCTTTAAGGGTGAAGAATGAAGCAATGCAGCTAATATGTTATTGTTTTTCCTTTAAAGCTAACAGCCATGGATCTGCCACATCACGGGTACAGAGCAAGTAAGTGGAAAACGGATTCACTGAAAGCTGTCCTTTGTTTTGTTTTTTATTTTTTACAAGGTTTGACAGAAAATTCCACTCCTACTATCAACTTCATTTTAATGTGCTTTCATCTGACTAATGACATCACTATATAGGCTAAGTTTATGTCACTTATTATCTCCCATTATTGGGTGAATATTTATTTCCTAATGAAATTAGAATCAAGAAGCAATCCTATTAAAAAAATAATAATTACAAGTTAATTAAAAACTTATCTGTTTTACATTTTTCTAAAACACCCTAAATATGGAATGTATTGAAAAACCTCTTCTAGCATCTATTGGTATATTTGCAGGGGTTGACATTAAGGATTTTTACCACTTGCCTTTCGGGCAAATGACTTTCACATTTCATTTGCCCAGAAACAATTTTTACTTGCCCAGTATAATGTTTGATAAATATAGTTCCTATTATTCTTTTTTATATATTTATATAAATGAAAAATGTTTGTTTTTTATAAAAAAAAATTCTAATTCAGTATTTTTTAAGTTTACAGCCTCCTGGTGTGTATACGCATGCGTCAGATAATGAACTCAAGCCGACATTATCGTGTTAACATGCTTTTCAATCCTTCCTGCACATTCTTCTCAAACTAAACTTTGCTTTAAACTGTTGTGTGCTTGGAAAAATATAAATTGTAATGTTAAAAATCTAAAAAAAAAACTTGACAGGTTAAAAACTTAAGATAAATCACAAGACAGAAGTCAATGTCACAGATGAATAACTTTTATTTTAGAGTCACGGTATGTTTATACAAGATAATACTATTAATATAATGTGACTTTTCTAGAGAATCGTTTTACATTGTTATTTTACAGGGCTTCCACAGTCTTACATAATTTCAGAATTCCCTGAATTTTAACTGACTCAGGATTAGTTTTCCCTGACAAAATAAATGCAGCAACAAGACACTAACATAACAGGTCACCAATTTAACATGTTTGGCTCTATAAC